TCTCTCTCTATATATATATATATATATATATATATATATATATATATATATATATATATATATATATATATATACACAGATATTTTTGGATGATAGATAGTGGGCGGTCAATGAGAGAAATAGTACTCAAAAATGTGTGTTGGGTCAAAAATGAATAATTGTAAAATTGGGAGAGAAATTAAGATTAAATTACACTAAATGATAAAAATACAACATATTAAAATGTGAGGGAGTATTTTTGTCTTTTACAAACTAATGGACAATACGTGAATTTTTTTGTAAAAGAGTGTTTGTCTCTCCTCTTTATGTATAAATACCCCCTGATGAACTTATATATAAAGAGCACATTTTTTCTAGAGACAAATAAAGTAGTTATATAAAATATATATATATATATATATATATATATATATATATATATATATATATATATATATATATATATATATATATATATATATATATATATATATATATATATATATGCGCCAAATAAATAAATAGATAAATATTGGAAAATTTTAATTTATTTAATTTGGCCTTTTATTTGGAATGACATTGATTTTGTAAATTTAATAAATAATTTTTGCTTTCGTTGTAAAACAGTGAAACATGATATTTGCAGTATGTAAGTAAACTTATACTTTTACTCAAGAGATTAAATTTTGAGCGGATCAGCCGATATTTAATATAAATCGGATTCCACTAATTTTTTGACATATGACATTATTAAGTCTTAACTCTTAATAAATCACGCTAATTATAATTAGAGTTAGATGGGTTACGGGTTCTACTGGTTTTTTCTTTTTTTCCAATTATTAGAATCATAATTATATTTTTATTTAAACTATCCACGTGTCAATCATCCTATGGCATCCGACTTTCCTATTAAAATAGGCCATCCGGACTAAATTTGCACCCTTTACTCAAAGAAAAAAAAAAGTAAACTTATACTTTTATTTTTATTTGAATTTATTATTGAGTGAATGGTAGAGGGATTAAGTTAAAGTTAATCAAAATGTAGGGGCTAATTTGATATTGAGGTAAAAACTGGGGATGAATTTAAGTATTTAACCATGTTCATTTCCCCCTTATAATTTTTGTTAATGTACAATCTAGTACAATATGTGGTGGAAAATGACTAAAAAGTAGTGATGAGGATTGAGGATTGCGTTTTCAGGCACAACCACAACAAATGTCTCATCTCACATGTAAACACATGCTCCCTCCGACTCAATTTAAATAATTCTGAATTGTTGCGCACATATTAAGAAAATCAATAAATGTGTATAGTGTATAGCAAAAAAATATTAAAATTATTAAATAATACGGGACAACACAAACCGGAACAGGATTTGGATAGTAAGATTATGTTCAAGTTCAAAAAAATGTTAAATCGGAACTTGCGGTTCCGAACGACGATTCAACAAAAAATTAAAAAAATATTAAAAAATATAAATTAGCCTCCCACCATGTCCAACGATCGAAGTTTTTAAAATTTTAGCCCAAAAAAAACAAAAGTTCAGCAATAATTAACCAGCAGGCTCGACAACGATCATATACAATAAGACAATTAAGATGGTTTATGTACAGTATAGCCTATATACTCGTAACTTCATTCAA